CCTAGTTGAGGCAGCTATCTCCTCCAAGAATAAATGATCCATTTTTTTACTACCCTGCAAGATCTTCTCAGCAAAACTGATATATAGAGTGACATTCTTAACGGGAGCAACGAGTTCGACGAAAGCGTCTATTACACCCAAGACACTCAAGAGGTGATGCTAGGTGCAGAGAAAAACCTGTCTTCGCACAGTGCTGAGACACTGTACGAGGTCTCACCCGATGCGATAACGTTTTCGGTTCTCGATGATGAGTCGTATTCTATGTTAGCTCGCAACCCCGAACGTCATTCGGCGCAGTTTGTTCCGGCGGTAGGCGCGAAAACCCAACTGCCTCCGACTATCATCTTCTGTGAGTACAGCATTACTTGTGTAATGATAAAGGATAACTTTTCTTGAGCTACTATCCGCGCATAAACCCACCACCAAGGCGACTGCGTCCATATATGTAAACCTTCGCGCTCATTATCTGGTATAGAGTGAAGTTTTGTTATTTTTAGCCTCTGTATGTGGTAAGCACAGCAGACCTAGGAGCACTCGGTAACAACGGTGGAACAAGCCAAATCAATTTCCGCTATTTTTTAGTTAGTCCAAATGTTTTCGCATTTTAGAGCTTTCAGCCCTCAAACAAATGTAAACTTCGAGTTTCACGTTCCGTACTATCGTTTAGCGTTGCTTCGGACGCTTGGCCCCAGAAGATCTTTGATCTCTTCAACTTTATGTCAATTCAACCTAACCTAAGGGGTGTGTCAATCGTCTGTTGGGAACTACAAGGAGACCGAGCGAACGGGGTCATCTTACGTTAGTATAAACGTATTTAATAAGGTGTGCAAAGATACCATATCATTTCGGTTTCATGGATTGAAAAGAGAATCGTCGAACCTATAAGAAGCCTAATTTTAAACACGCTCATACGACTCCAATAATGCTATTCTCGTTATTTTCTAATTCGTTTGTTCTTGAATAATTTGTAAGTGACAAAAAGATTTTGAACCTTAAAATGCAATAACTTTTAAATAAAAAAAAATAAATAAAATGCAAAAACTCTTGTGAAGAGTTTGATAATGGCTCCTTAATCCGAGAATCTCCTCTCTTAAATCTGATCCTCTTAAATCCTCCTAAGACCGAACGGATAGATAAAACGATTCGTCTTCAAAGAGAATTGTCGATCGACTTTGCAATGTATACTTCCAGTAATTATGTTTGATAAATGATTTCACAATAACTACCGTTAATACGATCACTATATAGAATACTCTGTATGTTTTTCTCCTTTGCCGCTGTCTGAAGTGACATAGATGACCCTACATTGAACTATGTGTTATCACATTGTGTACAACGCTATGAAAAATGTAAGCAAACCTAAAGTCTGAATTACATTTCAACATCATATCCTGTGACACTGCATCAAGTCCGGTCTGGAGTATTGTTGTTGAACGGTTTTGAGCCCCTGTCGTATTCGATAACCTAATTTGACAAAGGCTGTTCTGTTTATGTGGCAACAGGTTCAGTTTTTGGCCTCTTAGCTACTTCAAAGAACGGGTATTGTCCAGAAAATCCAACGTAGGTCAACGATATTTGCTTCTTCACTCACAAAACATCTATGCTTTTTTTGGGAACCACGCCTCCTAATATTCGTCCAATAAAGATGTACATAGCGGTTGAATATAAGATTATGTAGTAATAAGTTAAAACTGATAGAATTATATATATAGAACGACACTTTATGTGACAGTTCTTAAGAAGATTGTTGATGTTTTATTTATGAAAAAAGAAACGTTTTTATTTCACTAACTGCTTACCCGCCAAAATTTCAAAACTTTGAAATTCCGCGCGAAAACGTATGCTATTCATTGTTCTTGTTCTTGCTCTTTAGCACCACTAGCGACAAGTTCACTGTCTGCTATGACCGATTCCTCCTTCTTTGAAGCGACTCGCCCGCACGACAAAGGCTATGCCGACAACAAATGCGCTGACCGTCGTTGTCGGAACAGAACTGGTAGCTGTGATCACTTTTATACACCATGTAATTATATCTGTGATATCTTAAAAAGTTGCCGCCGTTTTGTATAGCTGTCGCATGTTAACACGGGTAGAAATGGAAACCGCGGTAACTGAATATGTCACGTAAAATGTATCAGGCCACTTTTAGACGTTTCTATTTCGTAGTTGAAGAACTAAGCAATAATAGATTGTTTCTTTTTGACTATTTATTTTTATGTTGTAGGGTAATTTGTATAGTAAAATGGATAGAGATGAGCAAAGAAGTTTCCCAGTACTGCCGCGGCTTTATGACCAGCTAAAACAAAGTGGTTTCTCGACAGAGGGGTTAGCAGACATTTTCGAGCCGACGTTTACCGTTTAGAACCTAAGGAACCTACTGTCGCTGTTGATGGAAAAAAAGACACTTATGTTGACGCGTTCTCAAAAAAATACAAACCTTTGTCTTAACATCTACAAGTTTTAACTAGACTCCAGTCAAATAGGCGGAAATTAAAAAAGAAATTGAGCTTCGACTTACAGCTTGTATTTCTATGCCCTGTCGAGCAAAAGAATGGGCTAATGAAAAATTATGCTCTGCGCGAAAACGTACAGCTTCGTATTAGTCTTGTTTGTCGCTTCAATAAAATGGGTATTTCGGTACCAGTAGTAAATTTATTATAAGATAGCATGTTGTTCTCGAAATTTAGCTTCATTTCTGAGTAAAACTTAGCTACGGTTTTTTTTTTTAATCAAATGTGCTTGTCTGTCATCTTCTCAATCGTATGTACAGTTAACTTTCTCACAAGTTCTTTCAGCTGAATCATCGGTCATATTTTATCAATCATCACACAACCGACACACAGTAACTATACCGGCAGAAAGCCCACCTACCCAAATGCCGGTCAGACCGCTTCGCTCTCTAGTAACAAAAAACAACAATTATAACAATTGCACGCAATATATACTGTAGCTAGCGGAAGAGGGTAGAACGCAGACAATAGGGAGGGAGCGATGTAAAGAAGAAACAGAAACATAGTCTGTTACATTAAGATGCGATGTTAATAAAGCCATTGATTGTGTTCCACCTAAATATCTCCCCCATAGTTCTTCCCACCCGTAGTTCAACGGGGGCGTCCACGCGAACAAATTCGGCTGGTTTAAACGCTCGATGGCGAGCGAACAGAGAAAACGGTCCTATTTTCTTTATACTCACAGTAATACCCAGCATTGCGGCCACATGCGACGACGTAACGGTAGCAATTCAGCCAACAGTGACCAGCACGCGCGTAAAGGGGGGGGGGGGGGGTAGCCACACTCAAGCGACGTGCAAACAAATTAACAGTCGTTAGACATAGCAGTGTCATGACCGATACCGACAACAAAATGTACATAGCTTGTTATATTAGACGATAGCTGCTTTTCGCAAACTCTACGGCGAAATACGGCAGTATCGACACGGACAAAGAAGAATTCAATTCGAACTCAATAAACCTAAAAGCAAATCTGTTTTCAGGTGACTTCGCTGCGAGGCGTGGACGGCGTCCAACAACCGGCCACAAATCTGTTCCCGGTATTCTGTCTAGGCTCGAGCCTGCCCAGGCGTTAACTCGCACTCGTTCGCTCGGTCAACAATGTTATAATAAATCGTCTCTTTCAGATCTCTCACACGCGGTCGACGCGAGCCCTGCGCGCGACCAACCCGGGTCTGGTTAGTTATTATTATTATGGTGTTGTTGACGTGCGCCAAATTCGAGCTACAAAGCCGTTATGCGCGTAACTGTAATATTTAAATCACTGCTAAAAGGCATGGGTCCCAGTGGTTGTACCCAAATACGAATTAATTGCTGGCTATATTTCTTGCAAATTCTTTAATATTTTTAAGCGATACCATTAGCAGGTAAAAAAAAGTTCTACTTGATGCGAGGGAACACGCTAGCCGCGGCCTTAATTGTATTGTTGAACCTGTTGATGAATACGCTCTTTGTTGATAGTCCTTTATCTCAACGGTGGTGCTTTACTTGGCACGTCATAAATAAGCGCCCCAATGTTATTAATTGTTTCGATTGGGGAAGCCCAGTTTTGTAAAATAGTTCATCCGGATCTGACTGTGTTGAAATAGATTTTCGCAAAAAACGTTGTAGTCGTATTGCCATAGCTGGAGGACTAAGTAGTGTTTCTGCATATAATTTCACATTGAAAACGTATACTCGCTTGATCCTAGTGTGTATCCTCGCGCAGGAAAATTGTAGGTCTGCGAACAAGACCTACATTGTCGATAGCATATATCTTATCGTCGTAGAAGATGCGGATGCATCTAGAAGTAGGCCTATGTTTTTTGCCAAAGGTGCACCTGTGTTTTGAGACGAGATTTTGCAATGATATGATGGGGCACAAAGTCAGATTATTTTGTTCAGCTCAGTTTTGAACCATACTCTTCTTGAACCAACCCGATTCTTCCAGTATGAATATATTTGCATTCGCAAGCTGCGATAGTTACTGCAGTCTAGAAACACAGAGGTTTTTCGATGGCAAGAAAACTTCCACGAATAAGATTAGTTATTAGAGACAAAATGTGAGCCTTCTTCATATAATTATGAATTGCAGCTCCCGACGCCTATACAAGCAGCAAGTTAAGTAAATTATCCTGGTAGTTCCTTCTACGCGACAACAACTCCCTAAAGGTCGCTTAACAGTGGATTGTTTTTGTCAATATCATATATATATTTAAACAGAAAAAGACTGATATATATATATATATATATAAACGCTTCAATAATTCGTGTACCCTTAGTTTATGCTGTATTTACTTACCTATGTTCACGGTCACCGCCAACAAGACCCTATCGAATCGAAGGCGATATTGTAAACGTAGAAAAACCAAGATTAAGCAAATCCGCCTCGATAGTTACATATATTCCCGTAAGAGACTTGCATTTTTAAAGGTAGCAACTAAGCGCTAGCAATTTATAAATACATTTATAGCCAGTAATCACATAACGTAATTATATCAGACAACGTACCTGAACCCTAGCTTCTGTGAGGTCGGTTTTAGCGGCTAGCTCCTCTCTGGAACGAATTTCAAAGATAAGAGAAAGAAAAAAGCTAAGTAAATATATTTTTTCTTCGGATAATTTCCGCACGTAAAGATCGGTTTTCTTTGATAATCGGCCCAATTTACTTTGTAGAAAATCGCCTGTTAGATACACACCTCAATGCACACAACGAACCTTCACAGAAGTTTTTCATACAAATTGACTAAGACACACAGATCCAAACACACGTTAATACAGCCGGACATAGGTCTGTCAGCCCGCCGAACACGCTGACCGCATTTTATGCCGTCACTCGATGTTCACAGTTGTTGGTACCGAAGCGCCGGAGAACCTGCGGCCATCTACTCAAGTCCTTAAGCAACTCATATGGGCGAGTTAACAAGTATAACAATAATAGGAAGCTTATTAATGATAGGGGAAGATGTTCTTTACGATGCTATTATGTGTTATTTTTCTCAACAGATGGCGGTTGCGGCGAAAAGTTCTTGTCGCTGCTGCTCCTGCTACTTGTTCTGCTGATGTTCAGTGCAGTGATTACTGGCACTATTTGATGACGCAGGAAAGTCTTGCTAGGCGGTGGCCCGAAGGCCCGCTCCGAAAGTTGGCGGCTGCTACCGTGCTCAGTGTCGCCAGTCCATCGGTGGAATATACCTAGCGGCTGCTATTGTTGTAACAACGCTGACAGCTAGTGCACGTTTATTATTATTATCATGTATCTCGCTAGTATAATTTGTCCTTGTTACGACGAAAGACTTTTCATCTATTTTTCCATTTATCCACCCGTGCTTGACGCAGTTTCGCTGACGCGCGTTTCCCGTCTCGGCGCTCTCAGTTTGCTTGTCGCCTGCTGCTTTTTGGGCATCCCGCCCTAAATTTCTGGCGCTGAAGAACGAACACGAACGGTTTACGTCGGCAAGTGAGGTCAAGCTCGACGAAGGAAGCTTAGTTAGGTTGTTCTTAGGTAATGAAAACTGTAGGAATAGATGAAGTAAAAGGCGAAAAAAGGATTTGTGCTCTCGTGATTTTTTTGTATGAACTTCACTATAAACATGCGCTTATATGATGATGATGATGATGATGATGATGATTGTGACGACAGCGATGCCAATGTCGCTGATCATGACGCACTTCTGCGCTGGCATAGTATGCACTTTTCTTCCACGACCTATTCCACGACCAGAGCGTTTTTCTCAAGCCCTATTTTACATCTGTATTTGTAGTTATTGTCAAATCGCGAGCTTTCATATTGTTATTTCGTTCAATTCGAGATAAATCATGTTTACAGCAGTTTCGAAAGTGTCTCTCGGCACCACAGTGCCCACCAGCACCATCACCGTAAACGTTACCATTCTGCACGATGGCTCGTTCCAACATCGTGTCGCCATCTTTGCCACGGTAAGACCAGTAGTAGACCCGTTGTTAGCTTGCTTCCTGTTTTTTAAGCTGGTTAAACTGCTTTTTGTAAATACTACTAACACTGCCATAGAAGAAGCACATGTACACAGACACACACATACACACATCATACACATATAGATCATAACGATCTCTCGATCGGTATCCCTACATGCCATTTTTAATAATATGCTTTCTAAGTCATTAACGCTACAGTAAGTCCCCATGTTAAACAGAAATCTCTCGAATAGGGGAACTGAAAAAGCGAATCCTTTCAGCCATTTGTTCAGATGAGTCGAAGGATAGATCCATACTGCGTCCATCGGTCTGATAACGGGCCGGTGGCTGTCTTGTTGAATGAACGCCGAGTTTAAATAGTTAAATTTTAGCAAACATTATCAGAAGTCTACAGAGATATGTTTACCTGGACTAGCATGTGATTTACATTGTTTGCTTGCTGGCCTATTCGTTTAGCCTGTACTACATTAACATATATACAGATAGTCTTTCACTCCTAGTATAGTTCTCGTTCGCTTTGTAGAACACGTTTATGTCATAACTAGTTTACAAAAAGGTCCTTAAGTAAATGAAAAATTCAATAAAGAGGTCTAGTGCAAACTACCGTAACTCATAAGCTGAGTCCGAAGGCTAAAAAAGACTGAGATTCTACGGTGAATATGGACTTTCACGAAACATAGAATGGCTGATTCAACATGAGATGAAAGACGCCATCTTAAGTTCTATTTTATTGTGCACAATAATCATTCAGCATGTACTGCTCGCTTTGAACTTACTTCTATCTAATTAATCGAGGTGTCTTTAAACTTGGGCCATAATAGGTTTAGGCATTTGCAAGCATCCGTCCCATTCATATGTTGTTTCTATAGTTTTTTAAGCTTTTTCCAAAAGCTGTTTTTAAATAGCAACTCTGCACTTTGGTAGTCTATGTTTTAAGGGCTGAGCCTAAGGATCAAAATATGTTTCAACAAGAACGACTTTACAAGTGCGACATGGTGAGAGGGACACGGTAACCCAGTTATCGTAAATGCTGAACAAGTAACGAATCATTATGGATTATAGAATCCTGTCCCAATAAAGCTTTTCATCTTCCCGTAAACATGTTGGGGCCGTCCGTATCGGCACCCTGTTAGAGGGTCTGCTTTCTCCCTAAGAAGAAACAGTCACAGAAAATTGGGACTGAAGTCTTTTAGGTGACGGACGTCAGCTACAATTCAACAGGTAAATTGATAGGCTTACGGCAGTCACGTTCAAGCAATGCAGCTCACGGTTATCACAAAACGTTACTGAAGATCAACTGTGTGTAAAATATATCTTTTGTCGAACTAATCACACCGTTAATGGCGCGAATGGCTTTCATGCAAAGAGCTAATATGAAGGCACACTGCTGATGCACGAAAATACATAATACTAGCTTCAGAACTTTTCTGAACTTTTTTTTGGAGAACTTAATGTATATATCTAGTTTACGGACAGCGGGCTTCATATCTACTAGGTATTTGCCATGGTATTATTGTGGGACTGCTGCTGGCGTATTTTTTTTTATAACTGCACGAGTATTTATTATACTTTTAATACTACAGATACGAACAGATTGTGCACCGGTGCGAAGATCTTTTTTGTTCACGCCCCATTTTTCTAATGTGCCTTATTTTTTCCGTTTACATTAAACCAGTGTTAATTAGTTATAACCCATAAAAACTCCATGTTCGAAACTAAAGTGTGTAAAAATAATAATCGTTCATATTAAGTACTTTTGGACGATAGAATTACATTGAGCACTGCTTCGCGTTTATCGGTACTGCCCAGAAACGTTTATATATGCTTTATTAACGTACGGCAAGCCACCACGAAATGCAACCAATGTTAATACGCAACGCAGTATAAATGTAAGGTCACCCATCCATTAGATTAGATTTGTTTAAATCTTTCTACTTCAGATCTACCTTGTTTATATTGTTTTTTTAGCCCGATCTTGTGCTCTGGCAGGCCAGACAAACGATGGCGCCACGCGGTGGGAAAATGGCGCTACTGTTCTGTCCATCTTTTCTTTTTTGTCTTGAACACATTGCAGTTTATGCTTTAAGCCGGCTTTTTGATATCTAAGTTATATAAATGACGTAGCCCACGTATCTGGTAATCAACAGGGGCAGCTGTGTGCCATTAGTGTACACATACGTCCCTTAAAAAATATTGGCCAAAACAATCGGTTTCATGTCGGATATAGCATTGGCCAAGCGACTGATACGAGTATTTATTCGGTATGGACAAAACTTAGTTTATACTAACTAAACTTACATTATCTGTTCAAAGTTACGGTAATCTAAAATGTAGAAACACTTGACAAGCAAGAACATGATGCGCTTCGGTACTTATGGCCTGTGCTGTCTGAAGCGTGAATCCTATTAATTGAAGTAGCTAAATTCTGGAAGTTCAACAGTTCCACTATATCATCAGAACTTTAGCAATGCGCGCCCAACTATAAAACACGACTCGATATAATTAAATTTATGATTTGAGCATATAAAATAATTTTCAGCTCCTGTTTACCCGCACACGCAATGCTTGGGATTGAGCAAATCTATTGCTGCTACCTTGTAAACACGTCGGGATAATGAGACAACGCGAACGCCTTTTCAAGCTGATCAAGCTGTTCCGCGCTGAAGGTAGTACGATATCGCCGTTGTTTCCGGCGCGGTTCTCCTGCGATGCGTCCTGATGCATGATCGGGTAGGACGAGCGTGCCATTGGGTGGCACCCGAGCTGAACACTCCAGGCCATTTACACTAAATCCCATTCCAAGCCTGTAGCTGGATACAACAGATAACTTTTCTGTAAGGAACGAAATAAAGGGAAGTGATTAGCAGCAGAGACGTTTTTACTGGCTAAACTATAGCCCGGCATTGGCAAATGACGCTAAATGTTTGTTTAATGTTCCTCTCTACGTGTATGCATAACAAATCCATATACTATCACAATAGAGGCCAATAGGTAATTCCATACTTTGCGCAACGTAGCTATATGTATCGTATTATTGATCTGATGTGATTCGTCGATAAAGCGTAGCGATAAAGGGAAAAAAGCTAAACTTAAGTAAATTTGATTGGATTGGTTGTACCAATGGTTTTTGCAATGAACCAAGGTTCCCTTCCACTAACGTAGTAAATACGATGCTTTCGATGAACTGACAAGTATTTCCCCTCATATGTGCGAAAGTAGGAAAATCGAACCCGGAATGGTTCGGTAAAGGTCGCTATAGCCTAGTGGCTAGATGTACAAATCTTTCCATAAAGTGTAGGCCGACTCCTTGTGTAAGAAGCCGACCCCGGGCATCGAACCGGGATTACCCCAGGAAATATCCGGCAAACTACTCCTGGATAGATGAAACTACTGAAAACTATTTCACGTTCCACCAGCTTTCAGCTGATACTAATAGTAAGCAAAATTAGCCATATCAAAATGTCAGACGTCAGCTCGAAATTCTCTCATACAGAGTGCAATATAAATAGGTGGTCGTCGGTAAGCAGTAGTGGAAAAAAACAAGTGGACAATATTCATGGCCGTTTTCTCGCTTGTTCCTCATCGGTGATTTCAAAGCTTGGGAATATAGTTTATTGATGAATTTGTCGCTTAACATCTTCTCTAAAATCAATACCATACATATGCGACATGACGCCTGTGCGTTCGGCAGTTAACAACTGCCCTAAAATTCTGTAGCTATTAACTCGGTTACATAAGAGCTCATCAGATAACGGCTTTTATAAAAGTTGCTTAAATACTTCAATATCATACGCACATTAAAATCGTCTGAAACGTTTCGAGATTATAGCTTCTTTGGGTCAGGGGGCAAAGCTCTATGTAATTGAAAGTGCGCTTGAATATATGTAGGCCATGCTGGCAATCTTCTACTGGTCAATAAAGTATTTGTAAAAGACCCGGCTCTTGACGGTTAAAGACGAACTTGTGACGGCGCTTCGCCGTGCCACATTCGTTTATGAAAATTTTACGTCTCGTACTGCCGTCAAGCATTTCTTGAGAAACTAGGCTCCAAACCGATTTTCAATCTAGACCGCCCATACGTCCTAGTTAGAGAGCAAGCACTGCACTATCGGGAAAACACTCGCCGCAGCACAACTTCGAATCGATGCTTTATAATTTTCGAGCGCTTCAAAATGATTGACCATTCCATTGACATGTTTATTTTTCTTGAATGTTCTCTTCCATGTTTTTATTAGGAAAACAAGTGTACAGAAGCACTGCCTGCAAAAACATTTTGAGACCCTATCTATATCCGAATACATATAGCCGTGGTTTTGCGATAGCCAAAAGAACCTTGAAAACGACCTCGCGGTAAATACGAGCGAAAACAGCTCATAGTGGAAGATCGGCAAATTTCCCCTCAGGGATTTCGTTTAAGAAATGGATATCTTACGTGAGAAGTGTTGAACCATTAGGAAAGATTACATAAGAAAAAACAAAAAGAGGTGTTCATTACGGAAATACATCTACTAACATATTGCTACTCGTTTGTCAGGAATGCTCGAGATGTATATTGCCCCAACCGCCATATTGGACAGATACAGCTTTGACTTAGAGCCGTTTCAACATCTGGAAAAACACATTCACCTTGGATCGGCCGAAATCATTTTACAGGGGACAATTCGAATTTGGATCGTCGAGGTAGGTGCAGCTGACACAGAACCACCATCCATCTGTAAAATCGGTACTCGGAATGGATCAAGTGACTAAATAGAAGAGGCAAACTTTGACCTTATAATATATGCGCATCGCGGTGCATTTTCATAGCACAGGAGCCACTCTTGATGAGATAGAAGTCCGGCTAGGAGATGAGAACACTTTGCCTTTCATGTTATCATTCACGCTTCGGTAGCAAACAAGCCAGCCTCAAATATGTTATTAATATATCACCCTTTTTCAAATAGAGAAGAAAAGTAATGCTTTTTTTCCAGACACAATACTTCTTTAATATTCATGCTCATAGGTTACATGGGTTTTATTGTTTCAGAGCGCTCCCAGTGGTGGAGGTGGGAGAGTACGCTGGTTCGACTACAGAGAGTCCTTTGTACGTATAGTTGTCCTGCAGCATTCACCTAGGCCGCAAACCTGTGTCGTATAGTAGTACGCACAAGCTACAAATACTTTTGTTAAACTTGAAAAAGTTACTTTGTTGCGCATATTGTTAGTAGTACTTCTTAGACTTTTGTCCCTCTAAGTAGCAACCAGAAAGATCGCCAAACAGAAATTAGGAACGCTTGTTGATCAAGGTGAATCGCGTAAATTTTCAAAAATATACAGAAAATACCGGAAAACCATCGAAGCAGTCTGGTCTGAGCCGGGATCGGCGTGAGGCGTATGCCTTATCCACAATCAGCAATACCATGGATGTTTATATTGGCGCTAGCTTGAAAGCCGCAAGCCAAGAGAGGAGTGCTAGCGATTCATCGCTCGCGCAATGGTGTGGTTGCGTGAGTGCCTAGTGGTTTATATATACGATATATTTTACTCACTTCGGGGAACGTGCAATTTGCAAAGCTAATTTAGGATATTTTTTAAACGCGTTATGGCAGTCACGCTCTTAAAAGCTTGCACAAACGTGAGTATAGTCGGTTCTCGGCAAAGGTGATCTTTTTCTTTGTAAAAAATGGCACTTTTTACCGGTGAAAAATGGACGAGCGTTACTCGTTTAGGCCGAATGAACGTTAGTCCTTTGTTTGCTGAAGTTAGTGCGACAAATATGAATTGCCTGAAAAAACAGTAATTAGTTCATATCTAGCTTCAACATAAAACTGGGTCCTTTGTAAAGAACAGTAAGTAGTGATTCTTTGTCCAAGCTACGCAAAAATAAGTGCGGTGGGCGAAAACAGAAAGAGAGAGAGAGAGAGAGAGAGAGAGAGTATCGAATTCATTGGGAATGGAAAATCGTGCTTAAGGTGAGTAAAAGTCCCATGCTAGTTTATCTCTCTGGCAACAGAGGACTGCTTGAGGTCCGATTCAAGATGCGTCCCTAACAACCTGGCTTTTGGATTGAAAAAGAAGAACCCGAAAACGGAATCTTGCGGAAAAAACGTCTTAGGCCAAGTGTGCAGACATAGTGTCAACAACCGATTGGGGCTAACAGGACAAATCTTTGTTGATCTTTGCGCAAGCATTAGCTGACACGAGATTTCTTTTTAATTGTATATTTGCTAGTACATTTGAGGAATATTTAACGTATAGATCAAGCTGTTACTAGCGATAATGATTTTTGCTGCAGTCAGAAGCCCGAAAAGACACTTCGTTTTTAAATAACACACACACACAAACGCCCATCGATGGGAAGCATGTGAGATAACACTTTGCAAATTTTAATGAACTGCTTATAGCCGCATGAAAACGACCACTTAAAAGTAAGGAAGTGGAAAATAGTTTTCGTTTCGTGTAAAACCTTACCGAAATTTTATCTAATGCGTATAGAGGACACAGTCTTCAATTTCGTCTGGGAACTTCCCACGGTGCCTAGCTCCATGATATGCCTGCCCAGATTACCCTGTTAATACTGATGACAGTAGCCAGCCTGATAAGGAAAACACTACTTAAAACCCGTAAAACGCTTCTCGATATTTAAACGAGTGAGTAAAATGATCACTGGTGGGATTTGCGTCAAAGCTGGCACTTTTGCAGTACAAACATTTTGAACCGCTTGCCAGCCACCCAAACTAAAAAGATTAGTTTTTATTGATAGGTAGATTTGCGTATATAATAAGCTGGAGCGGTAAACGGAAACCAAGAAGCACGAAAGCTTCAATTACGGTAACATGTTAAACGTTATATAGAACACATGACGATGGCGGTACACTTTGTAATTAACGAACAATTAGTTCTTCTAGTACTAAGATCAATGTTTGAAAAGTAGTGCTTTTAAATGTATTTGAACATATTTCGTTTAACTATTGTCTGAACATTCCTTAACCATAACCTGTCACTTCGCCCGACATTGGACCCTGAACACGTCCTAGGCCTTCAAAAACAAAAACTTTTTTTTTGCACATGAAGCATGCAGTGCACGTTACACACAATGCAATCCCGTCAAAAACATGGTAGCCCTCAGAGGCTTTTGGAATTCGAAGATGCGCCCTGTAGGCATTATATGCAGCAGTTTGCTAGATACGACATGTCCTTTTTCATCAGAATCATCTATCAGTTAGGGCGTTGATCTGTTCATAATTAGGCCTGTTGACATTAAAGCCGCCCTCGCAGAGTATAGCCGGCTGCTTTATTCAGCGTTGTTTATTACGTAAATTTTTACGCTTTTTTAGGCATATGGCCGTGTTTCTTAATGTACGATAGAGGATCTTTAAAAAAATAAAGGGAACCAGTGTGGCGAAATTGCATTAGATGCTAGAGATGCTTGAAGGTTATAGTATTTTCAGCAATAATTGGTATGTAATTGAGTTCGCTCAGCGGGCGCCATCACGGCGTAGCTTTTCAGCTTTCAGGACGTCGGTCAGTCAGTTATTTGCCTTTGCTTGCGACCTAATATAGATTAATAACGAGAGTTTGAGGTAACAGTGCAGGCCAAGACCTGCACGACGGATGATATAAATTTGTTTGATCCTATAAAGTGCTTTCAGCACGCAGACGTTCCGTTTGCTTTTTTCTTTGTACCTGCCATTAGTTGAAAATGGATAACTCCATTCATGGACACGGAATATAAAGCTAACATTAGTTCGAAGCTGATTTGTGACATTTAGATAGGTAGTGGATATTTAGATGACTACGTTAAGTTGTCTGATGTCATGGAAAAACTAACGAATTACGGACATTGAAACGAT